TGAAGCTGTTACCAATCTCAATCACTTCACCATCCATCATGACACTGCCAATTGACCCAGTGGTGAGAATCTTTGTTTTCTTGATGTTGTGCTTCATTTTAAGGAATATATGCTATCAAAAGATTATTAGTGGTTCTTATAGTGAGAAAAAAAAAAGAGAAAGTGGATTTTTGGTAAGGGTAAATTGACATTAGGCTAAAGGCAGTAGAAATATTTGAAAAGGAATCCTGCAAATGAAAACAACACTTGAAGACTGTAACTATTTTCACTAAATTGTAAATGTAGAAATTGTTGGCTTTTTATGGATGTTTTCTTTCACATAATTTCACTACTACAAATTAATAAGTCAAGAAGAGAGTGAAGGAGTTTTATTTGCTACCTAAAATTTTAGATAAAAATAATTCTGTACCTACCAACTACATGAATAGTTTTAATCCTCAATTTTAGCCTTTTTCATTATTCACTAATAAGAGGGAAGATCTATTTAAGGGTGAATATTTAATGATCTTTTATTTGAAATTTCTTGTTCTTGAAAGAATGTCCAGAGAGACAAATGTGAACAGAAAAAAAAAAAAAAGACAGAATATGGTGTGTGTAGTGAATGAATCCAAATATAAAATCATTCATTTGATGTAGTTAATGTAGTTGCAAAATGAAAATAATGACAGTTCTTGCAAACTTGTCATAATTCTAAATGGAGAAGTTAAGAGGGCTGTTTCAGAAATGGAGAACAAAAGATTAATAATAGAAGAAGATTGTAATTACTAACTAGAGAGTCCAGTTGAGCTTCCTAGAAGTGTGATTTACTAGAATGGAGATTCAGAATAATCATGAACACAGGGTCAAAATCAATTCATTTGCTTCTTAAACATCGATTAGTCTGAATGAAAACTTCAGGCTTTATTATGGTTGTTCCAGCATTCACTAGGGGGAAAATAAAGGATGAAAAATCCAATTAATCTTATGTTTTCATAACATAGAAAAATTAGGACAAAGGCTATGGAGATTTAATTCCCAAATGCAAGTGAGTGAAAATAAAATATAGCCCAGCTAAGGTTCACCCAACAACACTGAGAAGAGAAACAAAACACATTTATCTCAGGTATGAGCGTGAATTGATAATTTAAAGATTATGAATACATAAAAATATGGAAAATATTTAGGAACTTTGAAATATATTTTTTTATATTATTTATTCAGTTAAACTCAGCAGATTAACAGACAAATAATATTCTTACAGTTGAAACTATGGAACTTTCGCAGATCTCATTTGTACAAGCAAAATATCTATTTCATTTATTTATGTTTTAACTAACATAAGCAAATTAATTATTTTATTTTCACGGCTTAGTAATATCATTATTATTGTGAATTTAAGACATGCATTAGTGTTATTCCAATTGTAGCTAAAGTATCAGATTTTAAATATCATTGGAAGAGATTGCCCAAACCTTCTGCAGATTAGCTGGTGGCTATGACCTGCATGCCTTTGGGACTGCAGTGTAGCTTCTTGGCTGTGGGCTACCAGAGCTCCCTCTCTCTCTATTATATATATTTTTTTTTATTTTTCTCAAGGTCATGTGGACCACAAATTGCAATATCTACCCTAAAAATATTAGACTACTATTGTTGTTGTTAGGTGCTGTCGAGTTGTAGACAACTCATAGTGACTCTATAAACGAAAGTCCTGAGCACTGTTCATAAGTTTCCAGAGGCAAGCTATTACAGAAGTGGATGCCACTCATGCTTCCAAGCTTGTTTTAATTGGGAAGCTCCACCAAACACTGTCCACCATGGGTAACCATTATCACATTTGATACATCAATTTCACAGTGTTTAGCATCACAGCAACCACGAGTTACCTCTGTACAGCAATGCACAGACCAGTGCTATACCACCTAGAGGAATGTTTGACAGAAAAACAATTTGAACTAGGGGGCCGCAGATTAAAATCACCCACCTTGGGCTTGGTAGTATAACTTTCTGTCCACTAGGCTAATGTAGCTCTCTCTATGTTGTCTTTGTTACTGTTGTCGGGTGCCTTCGAGTCTTACACAACTCATAGAGACGTATGAATGAAAGGCCTGAGTATTGTTCATAGACTTTCTGGAGGCAAGCCATTTCAGAAGTGGATGCCACTCGTACCTCCAAGCTTGGTGGTCCACGTGCACAAGTAATCGCAAGTTTTTGGGGTCGTGTGCTTTTTCAGGCTTGTGTTTGACGTGTAGTACTTACTACTCTTCCCCTCAGGAGCGAGGTCCTTGAGGCTTGGCCAAGGGTTTAAGGCAGGTGGTGGTTTAAAGACTGCTATTAGCATTTCAATTTTTATAACCCAGCAGAGATGTTCACCCTTGCACATGTACATAAACATAAATACACACATACACACACAAAGAGACAAAGGAAAATGCATCCTTAAAATATGTTGTCATGGTGAGCTCTGGTGGCCTAGTGGCAAGAAGCTGCACTGCAATCCCAGACGTGAGCGGTTTGAATACACTAGATGCTCTGCTGGAGAAGGAGGTACAATCTCCTCCTGTACCAGTCAGATCTGATTTGATGGTACACACAAAATAATAATAATAATAATAATAATAATAATAATAATAATAATAAAAATTTAAAGAACAGCAATAACAAAATATGTTGTCATTATGTGCTGTCAAATCACCTGTGACTTGGGGCCACCCCTATGCACAACAGCTCTGAAGCCTACCCTGTCTTGAGCCAGTCTTACTGACTTCGACACACCATTCTCCATTGTCCAGTTACTCTATCAATTCATCTCATCCAGGGTCTTCCTCTCCTGCACTGTTTGTCCACTCCTCCGAGTATAATGTCCTTCTCCAAGGACCTATCTCTCTTGCCCATGTGTCCAAGGTATGTGGGACAGAGCTTCAAAAATCTTAGCCTTCAAGGAGAAACTTGGTTTCTTCTAATTATCACTTAGGGGACTCTACTAGCCTAGTGGTATGGATCTGAGCTGCCATCCCAGAAGCACTCAGTTCAAATAAACCAGCTCCTCTGCGAGAGAAAAATGGGAGATCTCGTCTCCTGCAATTAAACTGCCTCTGGAAACACCCATAGGGTTAACTATGAATTGGTCAAAACTCCCTAATAATGAATGGATGAAATTTCATTTTATGGAAAATTTACTTTGATCATTCTAAACAGCTGCATTTGTATATTTTTCAAAATTTGTATCATGTCCCCTCTCCCCCACTTAGTTTCTCTGTGGATGTACCCTTTGACTAGGCCACATACCAAGATTTGGCAAGGAAGAACTGAAATGGGAAAGAAAATTTAGTAAAATTTGCTCCATCTTGTTTGCTTAAATTAAAACTGGAGACTTCCTAGACCAAACAAAAATGACTGCAGTAGAGTCTGGGTCTTAGTGACCCTTAATCAGGTCAGAAATTTTAAATCTTTATGGGAATAGATTTCACCTTACTTCTATGCCTTGCATGACCAGGTTCTATAAGCTAAAGAATAATCTATTAATTTTTATGAAATACTTGTAACTGCTGAATCTATAAAATAAATTTTATTGCAGGAGGAATAGAATACATATGATCATTTTGGGGGGCCTGCAGTATGTGCCTATTTATGCCTACATCTGCTTTTGCCTAAATTTTGGTTTTTGTTGTGCTTTGTTGTTTAATATAATTTTGAACTTGAAATTTGTTTGAAATTTATTTAAAACTACAGTGGTAAGACAATAGAGGTCAACACAAATGTATGGCATTTGGAATCAAAGTTTCTTAATTTCCCATTTCATATATTTTAATACATTCAATTACACAACAATGTCCCTTTACCAGTGTCATTTATTTTAGTTAGTTTTATCTATTTTACAGACAATGTTTTCTAGATGTTCAGTAGAGTGAAACCTTTACCTATTGTTTTCTTGATCATTTTTGTAGCTGTTTAGGACAAGAACAGAGAAGAATGGATAAAGATAATTGCTCAGCCTTGACTGAATTCCAGCTCTTGGGAATTACTAATAACTCTAATGTCAAAGTGACCATATTCGCCATATTTATAGTTGTATATCTCATTATCCTTGTAGTAAATCTTGGAATGATCATTTTAATTAGAATAGATTCCCAGCTCCATACACCAATGTACTTTTTCTTAAGCCACCTTGCTTTTTGCGACCTCTGTTATTCCACAGCCATTGGGCCCAAGATGCTGGTGGACCTCAGGGCCAGGACTGGATCAATTCCATTCTTTGGCTGTGCTCTGCAATTCTTCATTTTTTGCATCTTTGCAGATTCCGAGTGTCTCTTGCTGGCTGTGATGGCCTTTGATCGATACAAAGCCATCAGCAATCCTCTGCTGTATACAGTCAACATGTCCAACCGGGTGTGTTCCATGCTGACGGCAGGAGTTTACCTGGTGGGCACGGTGGATGCCTTAATACACACAACCTTGACTTTCCGCCTATGTTTCTGTGGGTCCAATGAGATTAATCATTTCTTTTGTGATTTACCTCCACTTTTCCTCCTGTCTTGTTCTGATATTCAGGTCAACGAGCTGGCGTTATTCACGGTTTTTGGCTTCATTGAACTGAGTACCATCTCAGGGATTCTTGTCTCTTATTTTTACATCATTCTTTCAGTCTTAAAGATCCGTTCTGCGGATGGAATGTTCAAAGCTGTGTCCACCTGCACCTCCCATTTAACTGTTGTTGCCATTTTCCAGGGAACCATGCTCTTTATGTATTTCCGGCCTAGTTCTTCTTACTCTCTAGATCAAGACAAAATGACCTCATTGTTCTATACACTTGTGATTCCTATGCTAAATCCTCTGATTTATAGCCTACGGAATAAAGATGTGAAAGACGCACTGAAAAAACTAAAAAACAAAGTGGTTCTTTAAATGCCTAATATAGATGGAAGCAGTTCTCGTTGTTTTCAGAATGTAGTACTCTACAATAGTTTCTTAAATATCTGAATATAGTGATTACCTATATAAAAGTTTATGCCAAATGTAAAGTTGTTCCCTATATGGGTTGTACTTCTTTCTATTTCTTCGTATTCTTCCTATTTTCTATTTTTGTTGTTTAAGCAATGTATATTTTGAGAATATTTTGGTCTCCTTCTTGAATGACACTATTTTAATTGTATGATTTTTTTTTATTTCATGAAGTAACAGAATTATTCCAAAAGGATTTGAGTATATAGGACTTATTTTTTCTGGTTTATGTTTTATAATAAATCCAATATGGTTTTTGTTCATTTGGTTTTTACTTATCAGTCTTATACAGTAGAAGTGACAAATATTAACTAGGTAATTGTTAAACTAATACATCATTAATGATAAAATTTCATTATCTGAGGAACTGAAGTCCTAACTTCACTTGGTCAATGTCATTCACTCTTTCATTGTTCGCAGTCAGGACTGACTCATTGCTGACCTTCCAGCAGGCTTTCAGAGACTGTAAGTCACATGCAAGGAGCTCGCCTCTTTCTTCTCTGGGGCTATTGATGGATTCGATCCAGCAGAGAAGCACCACCGCTGGGTTAGCAGCGTCACTCTCTAAGCATTACGCCACCACTACCCCACCAGAGCTCCCCGTGTTGATATCAGCATCGAATGTAAAGTCAATGAAGAGAGAGTCTTTGAAATGAGAGCATGCAGTTTCTGATAACCAATAATTAGAGATGCAAAGTAGGAGTGAGGAATGTTTTCTAGCCAGTTCATGAATAGTCAGGGAGTGCATATGGAGAGGACTTTTGGGAAGAAGTAATGTGTATATTGTATATACTATAAAATAGCTCATGTTTAGTTGTTTATATAGTTGAGTTCCAAAAACAAAACACAAGTAGCTTGTACCAAAAACATGATTATTGTTGTAGAAGGCTGTCAAGTGGACTGTGGTTTTGTCTTTCAGCCAGCATTTTCAGCTATTCTATTTATCTCTTGGTCCCTGTTCTCTTCTGATTCTAGTTTGAATTTCTGGAAATGCTATCTCAGTGTTGGTTTTGGTGGGGTGTTTTTTAGCCATTTAAAATTTTTTCAAAATAATTTTTACAAGCTTGCTTGTAATGTTAATGATGAAAAATGTATAAAGTTCAGTCTTTGGCTCTCCAGACTCATGTCTGTCACCACGTCCGTAATTTCACACTACTATTCCCTCTTCTTTATCTGCAACTATTACATTCCTGTCACCAATCATCACAAATGCTTCTTGATTCCATAATTGGTCAATTTCTGACTGCAAAAGTTGGTTGAATTCTTCTATTTCCTCATATTTGCTTTTTCTATTAGTAAGTGTATTTAAATAACATTTATATTAAATAAATCTTTCTTACTCACATATGGATATTATCGTATCACCCATAGTACTGTTCTTCAGGAAAGATCTTGAAACAGTCTTTTTTAACCATGAATGCAACATATTTCTCCCGTAGTTTTTCATTCGTAGCATTGTAGATCGTGATTGTCTGATTCATAGTGGCCAATGTCAGTCCCCCTCAGCTTTCTAAAGTTGCGAATGCTCATCTTTCTGTTCTTAATTTCCTTTTTTATGACTTCTTATTTTTCTATATTCATATTTAATACATACTACATTCTAATTGTTATTGGATATTTGCAGCTGCTTCTCAATTTTAATTGACTTCCAATCCAGGCTCTACATGTAAAACTGTATTTACCTATATTCCACTAACGTTCATAAGATTCTTAAAGGCTTATTTATCAGAAGCAGATGATTAAACCTGTTTTCTAGTATTTCTTATTATAGGAATCTGTTGAAATATGTCCACCTTGTGTGACTCTGCAGACGTTTGAAACACTAATGGCATAGTGTTCAATATCACAGCAAGCCATAAGAGTTGCAATGCTGACAGATGCTAT